GCATTAAACTGCCAGCTGCAGTGCCTGCATCCAGTTTGGGCCAGCACAAGTCCTCTTCTGATCTAGCCTCCTGCTCATGTGCTTGGAAAAGCAGTGCAAGATGGTCCAAGTGCTTGGACCAGTATACCTACGTGGGGGGGGGGGGAGCTTGGAAGAAGCTCCTGGCTCCTGGCTTTGGTCTGGCCCAGCCCTGGCCATGTGTGATGTGGAATGAGCCAGTAGATGGCACATCTCTCTCGTCTCTTCCTCCCTCTGTAACTCTTTCAAATAAATAAATCCTGAACACACGTACATACACACACAAGTAATTTACTTCTCCCAAATTGAACTGGCATATGCATATTATGAATACAGTGATTCATTTTTGCATTTCTGTCAAGCCTTCCCTGGGCCAGTGTTAACAATTTAATGCCTTTTCTTTTTCTATTTTAAAATTTATACATATGTACTTTTATTATTTTATGGTGGAGTTTTGTAGGCCCTCTTCCCTCATATCATTACAGTATTTTTGTCCTTCACAATTAGTCCTAAGTCCATCATTCCTCTTGTCAAGATACATTCTACAGTTTCATTAGGAGTTAATCTGATTTGAAAGTAGAGATGCGCACTGCATTGTATCTTCACGTCTGTGTGTGATAGTCTCCACGGTTACTATACCTCCCCTTAATGAGAAGCCATAAAACAAAATCAACAAGAGGAAGAAAAAATAGAAAATTAACAAAAAGATGAAGTTAAATAATATGCTACTGAATGACCAACGTGTTGCTGAAGAAATAACCTTCTGGAAGCAAATGATGCCACTATGAATCACTGAGAAAATTAATAGGAAAAGCAACAACTTTTTTTTGAATGAATGAAAATTTAAAACAAAAATACGATCCCCCTAAGATGTAACAAAAACAGTATTTAAAGGACTATTGATCTTGTATTTTGCGTGGACGTTCCTTATATCGGAACATATGATATATATACATATATATATGTTTGTTTATTTATAAAATATATTTAAATACAACACATTTTCATAAAAACATATATTTACAATTTATTATTTTTAAATGACTTTTCTTTTTGGCTTTTTGAGTAATCATAAGTATTTCCAAGGAAGCTTTTCTGGAAAAATTTTTATTTCTAAGTTTTTTGTTTGTTTTGTTTTTGTCCTGTTTCTTGAGACTTACATCTTTGAAAGGGAGGTGAGAGAGAAAGGAAGAGAACTTCCATGTGCTAGTTCATTCTCCAAGTGACTGCATCAGCTGTAGCTGGACCAGACCAAAGCCAGGAATCGGGAACTTGATCTGCATCTCTCTGGTGCTGGGACACAAGTACTGGGTCATCATTTGTTGCCTTCCCAGATGCATTAGCAGACAGCAAGTGGGGTTGTAAGAAGGGAAGCTGAGTTTGGATTGACATTCCAACATGGGTGTCAAAATTGTAAAATAGCAGCTTAACCTGTTGTGCCAAGTTAATTGGTTCCCTATTTTTAGTTTTTTAATTCAAAATTATTGAAAGAATTGGGTCCTCACAAAATGTAATTTCTTGGATAGCAGAAAGATGTTTGCACTTACAATTTTTTTAAGATTATTTATTTATTATTTTTTAATTGGAAAGATTTACAGAGAGGAGGATCTTCTGTCTGATGACCACTCCTGAAGTAGCTGCAACAGCCAGAGCTGAGCCAATCCAACGCCAGGAGCCAGGAGCCTGTTCTAGGTCTCCCGCATGGGTGCAGGGTCCCAAGGTTTTGAGCTGTCCTCGATTATTTTCTCGGGCTATAAGCAGGGAGCTGGAAGTGAAGCAGGCTGCCAGGGTTAGAACCAGTGCCCATATGGCATCCTGGCACATGCAAGGTGAGGGCTCCAGCCACTGGGCCATCGTGCCAGTCCTGCACTTACAAGTTTTGAAATTTTCTTAAATAATTTGTTTTTGTAAGGGAGGTAGAAACTGTGCAAGTGCTTCCATATGTTTATTTACTCTACAAAAGGAGCTGTTACTGGTTACAGGCTGTGAAGATGAATGAGTAATCCTCAGGAATGGAGAAGGTTCACATACTCTGGAGCAATAATAGTCTGCTGCTCTCTGAGATGCCTGTTCAAGTTTCTCACCATTTTCTGGTCCTTAACTTTTCTCTTATTGATTCCTAGTGCTCTGTTTCATTTTTTATTTTTTTTTTTCATAATAAATTCTGTATGTAAACACTGTATTTTTCTCACAAATATTTTATCCCATTTTGTAACTTGTCTTTTCACTTTTCATAAAAATATCTTTTGTTAAAAAAAAATATTGTCTAGTTTGTCAATATTTTAATTTTATAAATCTACTTTGTGTGATTGCTAAAAATTTCTTTTTCTGGGCCCGGCGCGGTAGCCTAGTGGCTGAAGTCCTCACCTTGAATGCACCAGGATCCTATATCGGCAACAATTCTAATCCAGGCAACCCTGCTTCCCATTCAACTCCCTGCTTGTGGCCTGGGAAAGCCATCAAGGATGGCCCAAAGCCTTGGGACCCTGCACCCACATGTGAAACCCGGAAGAGCTCCTGGCTCCTGGCTTCAGATTGGCTCAACTCCAGCCGTTGCGCTCACTTGGGGAGTGAATCATCAGATGGAAGATCTTCGTCTCTCCTCCTTTCTGTATATCTGATTTTGCAGTAAAAATAAGTCTTTAAAAAAATCTTTTTCTACCCCAAGATTATAAAAGATACTTTGTTTTTCTTAAAACAAACAAACAAAAAGATTGGTTTATTTCTGTTGGAATGTCAGATTTACTGAGAGAAAGAGAGACAGAGTAAGATCCTCTGTCTGCTGGTCTGTTCCCCAAGTGGTTACAACATTCAGAGCTGAACCATCTGACGCCAGAAGCCAGGAGCTTGTTACGGATCTCTCACGGAGGTGCAGGATTTCAAGTCCCTGGACAGTCCTCCCAGGCCACAAGCACGGAGCTGGAGGGGAAGTGGGGAGCTGGGACATGAACGGGCACCCACATGGGATCTTGGTGCGTGCAAGGCAAGAACTTTAGCTGCTAGGCTACTGAGCCGGAACCATGAAGATACTCCTTGTTAAGAAAAACTTTGAAGGAGAGGCACCCTTCATCTACTGGAACTCAGTCTCAATCTTTTATGTGGGTGACAGGAGTTCAAGTAGTTGGGCAAGCCTCCCAGAGGTTGTGTCAGCAGGAAGCTGGTCAAGAAAGATGTGCTGGCAGGATGGGAGTGGAGCAGAGCAGATTTGAGTAGCCCGAGCTTGAACTGAGGCATTTGGGTATGGGGTATGGCAGGACTGAACGGAGGCTGTCATGGGGTGTCGCCGTTGTTGCTGACAGCAGAACTTGCTGTGCTACAGTGCAGCCCAGCCCCAAGATAATTCAGATTGTCTTCTAGATCCTTATTTTGTTTTTTGTATTTCAGTCTTCAGGAATACTTTAAGATGTTAATATGTTCATGCGATTAAAACGCTTTATGCAAAAAAAAAACACCTTTTTTTCATGCGTTGCTTCTTCATATCCTTGTAACAGGAACACCTGGAATCAAGGAATCAAGTTGCTTTCTCACCAAATTTGGCAGATTTACTCAATATGTCACGAACTTTTTGAAGCACCCTCATATAATCCACCTGGAATTTTTCCTTGCCATGTTAACAGAAGCTTTTTGTTACTTTAGCTGCACTCTCAAGAGGAGTTATTTAAGCAGGAAGGTTTAGTTTATGTTCTGGTTCACTCCCCAGATGCTTTCAACAACTGGAAAGGGACCAGTTTGAAGTTAGGATTCTTGAACTCCATAGATCAGAAGTGGATGCTCTGGGGCTGACAAAATGGCTCAACTGGTTAATCGCCTACCTACAAGCGCTAGCTTCCTATATAAGAGCCAGTTTTGAGTCCCAGTTGCTCCACTTCCCATCCAGCTCCCTGCTAGTGGCCTGATGGGAAGTGGAGGATGGCCCACAGCCTTGGGGATCCCATACCTACATGGGAGACCAGGAAGAAACTCCTGGCTCCTGGCTTCAGATTGGCTCAGCTCTGGCTCTTTCAGCCCTTTCAGGAATGAACCAGTGGATCAAGATCTTTCTGTCTCTCCTTTCCAATAAAAATAGTTTTTTAAATGAAGTAGTTTACAGGTGCTTTGACAAGGGATGCAAGCTCTTGCTTCATAACATCTGCTTCAAGAGTTTTAGCAATAATTCTTGAAAAAGTTGTACGAATTTAAGATCATTTATACAATTAAAGGATAACCACTGATGATGAGTTTACCAATACAAGAATAATTTGTATCTTCCTGTTCTGCTCAACATAAATTGAGAGTTGTCTGTGGTACAGTGGGCTAAGCAGGCACTCAGAATGACCATATTCTATACTAGAGAGCCAGTTCAAGTCCCATCTCTTCCACTTGATCCATCTTCGTGATAATGCGTCCTGGACGCAGCAAATGCCTGGGGCTCAAGTGCTGGGCTTTGCATCCATGTGAGTGACCCCTGTGAGTTCCTGGCTCCTGCCTTTGGCCTAGCCCAGCCCCACCTGCTGTAGGCTTTGGGGATGGAGGGAGCAATTGCAGATGAAGCATCTCTTGAGTAGATAAAAATAAATAAGCGTTTTTTTTTTTTTTTTAAAGAAAATCTTTGGTTTTGAGGTTAGAATTCTTTTAAGGAAAGCCACATAATTATCTGCATGCAAATATATACGATAGAAACAATGTAATGCTTTAATTGTGTTTTGGTATTTTAAACATAACATTTTAAGGGACTGATTTTGGTCAGAAAGGGTTGCAAGATTCTGTCCCCACTAATACAGTAATGGTTCTGATTTTTTTTTTCTTTCTACCAGTCATGTGGACGTGTTGTTAACTTTTCCAGACAAAATTTTTCCATCTTTAGATTTTGTGAGTCTCAGGAATTTCCCCTTAAACATCACTACAGTAAGATGAAGTAATATTAACTTTTAATATTTTAGCAACAAACATGGATCATTATTTAAAACGTGTTTTATTAATTGAACATTGGTTTTGCTTTTCAGCGGGGATCTGATGAGCTCCTTTCTTCTGGCTTCATCAGTGGACCGTTTACCATGAACAGTTCTACTCCTGCAGGCGTGTATGGTGAGTTTATGTGGTTTTTTTTTTTTTTCAATTTTTTTTTCTCTGTAACCTTCAAGATTTTTAAATAAGCTCTTATTTTGCATATTTTATAAACATGTGAAATGTCACTGTTTATTATAATAAAAACTAGGGTGGATCTTGTGGTGTTGCAGGCAAAGCCCGTGACGTCAGCATCCTGTGTGGGCACCGGTTTTTTGCTTTGTTTTTTCTTGTCTTGTTTTTTAATATTTATTTTATTTGAAAGGCAGAGTTGTAGAGGCAGTGATAGAGAGCTTCCATTCCGGCCAGCCCTGGCTGCCACTGACATGTGGAGAGTAAACCAAAGGATGAAAGACTTGTCTACTTTCACCTAACTCTTTCAAATAAATTAGTCTTGCCAAGAAAGAAAGAAAAAAAAAAAAAAGAATGATGCTAACCTTTGTTGCGATGCATAGTAAAACACCCTGTTTGCCCACAGGGGCGGGGGAATCATTGGATCTAGCCCTACAAAGACAACTGTAGTGGGACGCCAGTAAATCTACAGCAGGCTTGCTTTTTTAAAAAATTAATTTAATATATCAGATTTTCAGGGTCACAACAAACACAGGATGATTACTACAATATGATTCTCATCAATTTTCATGTTAATGTGATATTAATACAGAAACATTTAATGTGGTTAGTAATGAAAAATAATTCTGAGAATATTTTCCTTCCTCTCTACTTTCTCTGTTTTCTTAATTTTTTATAGCATTTGGAATTTGCATTATATTTAAAGGCTTAATGTTCCATAAAATAGAGCTCAGTAAATAAAAAGTAAATAGGTCCTAGTTCAGTGAAAATATAGGCAAGTGCTATAAACACTAAACAAATGAAGACAATTTCATGTAATACAGTAAATTTTTAATTAATCACAGGTAATTAAAACTGAGATAGTATATCATACTTAACATTGATGGACAAAAATAAAGTTTGGGAAAAATTTATTTCCAGCAATTTTGTGTTTTTTAATTTGGTTTTTAGTCTTAGCCCATATGTGTAAGGGAGAATGCGTGCTATTTGTTGTTTTGTGTCTGGCTTACTTCATTCCACTTGGTGTTCTAAAGTTGCATTTACTTTGATGCAGATGGTAGAATTCTTCTTTCTTTAATGAAGAAGAGTTTTTTGAAGTTTATGTATTTTTTGTTTTAAAAGCAAAGTTACACACGGTGAGATCTTTCATCTGCTTATTTACTCCCCAAATAGCCACATTAGCCAGAGCTGGGATGGTCTGAAGCCAGGTACCAGGAACTTCTTCTGGGTCTCCCATATGGGCACAGGGGTTCAAGGATTTGAACCACTATCCATTCCATTCACACGCACATTAGCAGGGTGCTGAATTGAATATGGAGCAGCCAGAACTTAAATTAGTGCCCACATGGGGTGCCAGTGTAACAGAGGCTTAACCTGCATGTTGACCCCACATTTCATTCATTTCTTTTTTTTTTTTTTTACAGCTGGATGATGTTCCATGTGTGTACACACATACACGCACACAAACACACACACAATGTTTTTTTATCCATTCATCTGATGCTGGGTGCTTTTGTTGATTCTGTATTTCAGCTGTTGTGAATAGTGCTGCTATAAACATGATGCTGAAGGTATCTCTGAAACTGTGTTCATGTCTTTTGGGTATATACCCAGTACTGGGGTTGTTGGATCATATTGTAAGCTTATTTCTGCTTTGTTTTGCTTGTTTGATTTATTTATTGTTATTGAAAAGTCAGATTTACAGAGAGAAAGATCTTCCATTTTCTGGTTCACTCCCCAAGTGGCCGCAACAGCCGGAGCTCAGCTGATCCAAAGCCAGGAGCCAGGAACTTCCTCCAGGTCTTCCACACGGATGAAGGGTCCCAAGGCTTTGGGCCATCCTTGATTGCTTTTCCAGGCCCCAAGGAGGAAGCTGGATGGGAAGTGGAGCAGCCAGGATATAAGCTGGTGCCCATATGGGATCCCTGTACATGCAAAGCAAGGAGTTTAGCCACTAGGCTACCACACTGGGCCCTATGTCTGGTTTTTTTTTTTAAAGACATTTTCATATTCTACAGTGGCTGTACTAATTTACATTCATATTTTTGCATCCATTTGTTTCTTTTGGATTTTAGCCATTTGGACAGATGTCATAAATATACAAATGTCTGTTGGCATAAAAAAGGTTCCCCATCCTAGTCTCATCTCCCTCGTTTTAAAGCATTCATTTGAATCTAGTTCATGGATTCCTGTTTTGATTGATGTTCTTCATGTGGCACAGTGGCGATAAAACAATTATCAATAGATTGTAGTGTTGTGGCATAAGAGATTAGGGGATGGCCCAAGCTCTAGGTTCCCGGCTTCCGTGTGGAAGATCAAGACGGAGCTCCTGGCTTCTGGCTGTGTTCTGATTCCCGCTGCTCTGGCCATTCAGGGAGTGACCCAACAGATGGAAAAGCTCTGTCTACTTTACTCTGTTTTCCCTCCGCCTTCTCTTCACAATTCTGCCTCTCAAATAAGTATGTTCTACCTTTTTAATAAATGAAGCTTTATAAAAGCTTATTGATATGTTGGTTGTAGTTATGTTCAGTGAAAGAGTTAAAATATATTGAATAATGATGGGCTTCGAATAAACATTAGCACAATGACTACATGATTTTTTTAAAAAAAAAAGATTTATTTTATTTTTATTGGAAAATCAGATGTACAGAGAGGAGAGACAGAAAGGAAGATCTTCTGTCCAATGGTTCACTCCCAAGTGATTGCAATGGCCAGTGCTGCACCGATCTGAAGCCAGGAGCCAGGAGCCAGGAACTTCTTCCAGGTCTCCCATGTGGGTGCGGATCCCAGGGCTTTGGGCCATCCTTGATGGCTTTCCCAGGCCACAAGCAGAGAGCTGGATGGGATGTGGAGCAGCTGGGATTAGAACCGGCGCCCATATGGGATCCTGGCGCATTCAAGGTGACAACTTTTAGCCACTAGGCCACGGCGCTGGGCCCAACTACATGATTTTTAAAACTTGAAATATAACCCACAAATCATAAAAATTATTCAAAAGAATAAAATTCTTGGAGAGGAAGCAATTAGGCTATAATCCTTATAAGGAGTGGAAACTTAATGCAAGTACAGTGGAGAGAATTGGAGGACTTGTAGAAGATAAAATTGCTAGTAAGTAGTGATTGAATGTTCAATCGCCAGTTTTTACATTTGTGTTTGGGTAACTGGATAGGGAAATAGTGGTGTTATTCATTTCTACCAGAGCAAGCAAAGGGTTAGACAACATGGTAGGCTTAAATTTGTGTATACTGAGTTTGGGGTTCCTGTGGAATTTGAAATGGAAACATATAGGCAGTGTGTTCCTAGTCTCAATTTCAAGAAAAATATGTGGTAACCAGTATTATTCATACTTTACATCTGAAGCTATGGGAATGGAGAGTGTTAGAAAAAGTACAGGTTTTTTCCAGATGTTTTGGGGGTTGTAGAAAGTTAAGGGGTGAATGAAATGAACCTTTTCCCATGAATTTACATAGTATTTCAGAAAGTAAAACGCCTCTTATGTGAGAACCTTGTAAGAGAAGTGGACCAGGTTAAGGTTAGGTAAGAAAATGAAAAGAAATTTACTCTAGAAATTAAGAATGCATGGGAATTATCCAACCTCATCTGTTCTAAAGGACTAAGTAGGAGGATTTTGTAGGCACTGCAGCAGCAGCAGATTTGTTCATGTGAAAGCATGCTGGCTAATGAGAGCAGGAAATTAGAGCCGACTATGCAAACTTGAGCTCACATTAGAAAAACCCAGCTTGTTAAAGCACGATTGCCGAATCCACCCCCAGCATTTCTAATTTAGGATGTCTAGGGTAAGTCCTGAAAATTTGCATTTCCACAAGTTTCCATAATGCCTATTTTGCGATTTGTGGAGCCATACCTTGAGAACTGCCATGAAAAGATAGGCTGGAATCTGAAGTTCATACACCTGGATGTTCTCTTGACATGTGGGTGCTTTTTCCTTTTAAAATTTATTTGAAAGGTAGAGATCCTGAGAGAAAATTTTCTACTGCTTCATTCCCCCAAATGGCTGCAACAGTGGGGCTCGGCCAGGTGAGGAGCCTCAGCCAGCGGCTGACAGGGCTCCCGTTACTTACGCCATTGTCTGCTGCTCCCAGGCACAGGAGCAGGGAGTTGGATTGGAAACGGGGCAGCTAGGACACACACTAGCAAGATGCCAGTGTCACCGGTGGCGACTCTTCCTGCCACTCCAGCAGCTTAACTACTACATTGCTTTTTTTTTTTTTTTTTTTTTTTTTAGCTGGTTTTTAAATTTTTTTTTTTTTCTTTAAGAGGCAGGGACACAGAAAATTCCCCTCCCCTTGTATATTTCCTTAATGATGTCAGCTAGCACTGGTTGGCACCAGAACTGGAGTCAAGAACTAAGTCCAGGACTCCTGTTTAAATACCAGGGACCCAATCACTCGAACCTCATAGAATCTACATTAGCAGGAACATGGAATCAGAAGTGAAGTTGGGTATTGAACCCAGATTCTCCCATATGGGACACAGGCATCCTAATCGGCATCTTTACTGCCTGACCAAATGCCTTTGTGCAGGATTTCTTGATTCACTCATTGTCTGCTCATTTTTGATTTACCTTTTAAGAAGATTTATACTGTTTATTTGTAAGTTACAGAGAGGAAAACAAAGAGATCTTCTGGGTCCAGCGTGATAGTCTAGTGGCTAAAGTTCTCGCCTTGTATGTCCTGGGATCCCATATGGGCAGTCGGTTCATATCCTGGCTGTTCCACTTCCTTTCCAGCTCTCTGTTTGTGGTCTGGGAAAGCAAAAGAGGACAGCCCAAAGCCTTAGAACCCTGCACCTGTGTTGAAGACCCAGAAGAAACTTCTGGCTCCTGGCTTCAGATGGGCTCAGCTCCAGCCGTGTGGCCACTTGGGAAGTGGACCAGTGGATAAAGTATCTTTCTTTCTCTCCTTCTCTCTGTAAATCTGACTTTCCAC